ACGAGTGGAAAAGTCGGCAGTCGGCAAGACGCCTCGTAATCACACACTGTCCGTTCAGCTGAAGCCTTGATGACACCGTTTCTTGGCGCGGTCGCGCTTTGTCACGGAGTCGATCTCCAAGGTTCAGGACCCGCTCGTGGCGCGCATCCTCCAGCATCAACCGCAATCTAACGCTTGACTTGACCTCTTAGCCTTCAACTGTGGACCAGTCATACGCTCTATGTGACCGATGGATGCAGTAGGTTTTGACCAGCTCATGGGAGGTTGGTGGGATAATGGAGCATCGTATCACACGGGGAGGTGGCGCAACACTCGGCGACGTATTGACGAGCACCGTGAGCCCATAAAGATGTAGATGAAGACTCGTGGTCGGAGACGGCCAAGACGCAATGCGTCTGACGTTGAGAATGGTCTCTACCATGAATGCCATGAAGACAATCTGTGACTTGGATCGTGAGTAGCTGTGGTATCGCAAGGAAGGCGTCTTCGTCTTTCTGAACTCTTCAACCCCATGAAACACATTCTGGACAGACATATGCCCTGACACTTCGGTTCGAGGAACAGAAACTGCGACTTCGAGCTGGTAGCTCAGTCACAGCACACGCAACAACAAACGAAATAGAAGGGAAGGCTCGAAATCCGTTCACATCTTCCCGAGCCGTTTGCTTCGTCGTTTTGCTGGAATGCCCAGCTCTTTAAATTGTGAGGCGGCTCGGTTTGCAATTCGTAATGATAGATGCAGCACGATGAGTGGCGGCAATGTGTGTATAAACCTGAAGTACTGTAGCAGCCGTGGTTGAAAGAGATGTGAAATGTGAATTCGAAACTCGTGATGGGACTGACGGTGAAGGCGGTCCATCCTATGCACCAAGGCGACAGGACTATATCGCTCTCACAAGTGAGCCACTTCTTACAGGTCGGTAGCAACACATCTTCCTGAGACCAGAGGCCAAAGTCTTCCGTATCGAGTTGCACAATGTGCCAGTAGTTGCTGACCAGAGCTCTTCTAGCCAGGCCGCTCCGCAGGAACCGATCCGACGCCAATGACGACATGAGCACCAAGAAAAGGGCGTGCTCCACCAAGGAAAACGGCATGCGAGACTTCTTGTCTCGTGTTCATCGACCGCTGTCGCTGATGAGAGCCATTGCTAAGCTCCCGGAGAGGCTTTTTGACTCATGACGAAAAAGAGTGCAGTGGACGTTTTATGAGACAAGCGAGACTGTCCTTGGCTGCCAGACCTGAGGTTGTAAAATAGCTCGCGATGGCAAGGACTCGACGAAAAAACACAGCACCGCCCCCTGGTCGTGTAAGCAAAGCAAAACGCCCTGTTGGCCCGAAAGAAAGAATGGTGACGTTGTGCCACTGCCTGTTGTGGCGGTGCAAAGTCGCTTGCCTCCACAAGTCGAAGACCACGCCGTGCCGCCGGATTATCTTCCTTCTCAACGGGCAGACCTGCCTCCGTTGACCTGGTCTGAGGGGTGTTTGAAGCTCCACGGTAGGAAGCAGCAATCTTTGCAATCTGTCCTCTCGGATGCTACGGATCTCCCTGCCTTTTGCACCCGTCGACCTTTGGGAGAGTAGGGGATAAGCCATCGCGAATTCGGAGGCACCGGTTGATTCGGTGCCGGAACGCAAGAGCATAGACGACGAGCTTGTTGGCCAGCCTCCTTGCAACGCCACAATACTCTCTGCCCACCTAGCGCAGCTGCGCGCGAGAGGATATACTCCCGCCGAGTCGGGGAGCCTAGAACGGGTGGTGATCGGTACGGTTCGGTCTGTTGCGTGTTAGAGACATCCGTGTTGACTTGGCTGGAGAATGACCAAGGTTGTTGAACGCGGTTCATACCTTAAGTCGTGAGCAGGATGCACATCCATAATGGTACCCGATACGTTGCTGCGCCGTTGATCTTGGCTCGGGTTGAAAGATCATTGGGTAGGCGTAGGACGTCGGAGTCCTGGTTATTTCGTGAGCTGGAACAGTGACTGCAGACTTTGAGACACACCTGCCATCAAACCATGTCAGCAAATACACAATTCCAATCAGGCCGGAAATACCCACTGTGGCGGGCGCAGCCTCAAGACTGGGCAGCCCGTCCGATATTTGCCAGATGTCATGTAGATGAGTTCATGACAGATCGAACGTTGGAACGAGCCCAGAATAAACTTGCATGCGAAGCTGTCTGCTTTTGGTTCTTGTGCGTATTCCTGTTCTGCGGTCGCTCCGTTGAGCAGTGGTGGATTCCGCAACCTGCAGGCTGCAGTAGGGGCATTGGCGTGCTTGGGTTTTCTTGGGCAATGAGGTTCGGAAGAAGAAACGTGCTGGACAGGTCTCTGCTCGCGCGCTTCGGATCGGAGTGGGGCTGACGACGGTGGACAGTGCGGTGAGTATTGGCTAAGGTAGACTTGGAAAGGCGCGACAGAAAACGGTAATAAATGCGCTCTGTGGTAAGGTGACAGTTGCGGTAAAGAGGAATCACGGTGAATGGGCAGTTTGTTGCTCGGTGATGTTACGTGAGGAACTCACCTAGCAAGATAGGCTGCTTCAGGGTGGAAGATGGTTGGCAGGCAGTAGTTGGCACGCAGGTGCACCTGGTGACGGCCGGACACCGAAAGTCAACGTCTGGCTTGTCTGACAATACGGCATCCGACGAATGAATCGGCCACCTTCAATGTGAGGCCAGACTTTCTTCGTGCTCGACATTGTTCGGTGCTGGTTCCTGAGACCCTGGCAAGGAGCGTCGCTGGAAGGGATGCAGTGTTCTTTTGCCTTGAACTTTGCACCAATTCTACGAACCACATGGGGATTGGGTCTGCTGGCACTGGTAGGTGAGGCTGCAGGGTCTGTGCAGTCGCAGGATTGCGAGCAATGAGGGAGTTGGTAGCCACGAAGCTAACAAAAGGAACCAGACGAACGTCTGCTCTGAAGCATTTGCTGTGGACATTAGCCACGTCTAAAATTGAGAACTCGGCCGTCTTGTGTTGTAAGATATGAGGAAAAGGAAGATCGAGCGAGCACATCGTTGACGGAAGGAATGGCCGGATAACAAAAGCCAGGTGGGCGGCTTGCCGTACACGGGTCATTCCGGAGTCCAAATGAGGAAACGCTCGTTGTGCACTTTTTCTGGCGGTACTTCCGTCAAACCAAGTAAACACCAAACGGAAGGCGGCAAACAACCAGCTAGAAGAACGTGACTGGGAAAGTGACCTCGGACCTCCCATCGCGACGTGCGCCTGCCGCCCGGGCCAATTTCTCGCAAAAAACATCCCCTGGAAAAAGTCTGCGAGATCCGATATCTAGGTACCTATTTCAGATCCGCTGTCGCAGAACTTGGGACCACCTGCCACTCTGTGGCTGCAGACGTTTCTGCAGCTGACGTCATCAGATGCAATCTCCCGTCAATTGAAGTAACCGCCGCCCAACACTCCATCTCATCCCGTCTTAATTTCCTCTCCACCTCACCATTAACCACCAAACGGGACTCACGGGGGTTTTCGCCGTCTGATTGACGTCCCGGCACAGACACGCATGAACTTTCTCCCATCAAGTCAGCCACCTAGCTCCACCACACTTTTGACTTCTTCCCTACTCGTTCTACTTCGTCAACGTCTTCAACTGGCCAACAACGAAGAATTCAAAAGGCTAGACTAGCATACGCGATACCGCACTTCTCGACTCGGTCCAAGAATAATACCGCCTCACCAGGCCTGCAATCCGCAACATCGCCCGACAGCCAACAGAAAACCGTTGCCTCCGATTGCCCCTCTTTGGCATTATCTTCGGCACCGCCGCCGGCATCGTCGTCGCCGTATTTTTCCCGCTCTTGTGGGCAGACAACCGAATTGGAATCGAAACACCAAAATACCAAAACACCAAAAGAAAAGATCAATCAGGCAACGCCGCAACAAAGTCACACAACCTTCAACCACGTCGTTGTCCTCGTTTTCGCTCCTCGTGCTAGGATTCGACTCTGGTTCTACCACTGCTAAGTGAAAGAAGGTCCGGACTTCCGCTCTTTCTTCCAGCATTCCTTCCACCTCCGCGCCAGCGAGCTGTGCCTTCCTCACGAGCAGCGGGACTTGACAGTTCCATTCGGATCTGGTACATGGTGAGTGGGTCGATTGTTCCGTTCCGACGAGCTTCAGTCACCCAAAAACCTCGTCGGAACAACCTCAGACCAACCAGATCGCACCCTTGACTGACCCGTCTTGTACAGAGTACACCACACATCTCGTCACCTGACCCGGATTTATTCCTGCCTGCTGCTGCACCTACTCAGGCCTTCGTACCTTCTCAGGTTTTCCCTCACTCGCCACGGCAACTGCAGTTGGTCAGTCTCGGTTTACTTTCCCCCAAAGTCCGGTTCAACAAACGACCATCAAGAGAGAAAGTTGCAGGGAACAGCCAGGACCCTTGACCTTGACCATGAGGCCATCCCCAACACCTCCACAAAAGTGTGAACCGTCCACTGCACGTCTCAAACTTCCACAACTTCAACCCTCGACAACATGGACGGCATCTCCATGCTTTGCCAGATCTTCTCTGGCTACTCACACGCCAGCGCTGTCGACACTTCCCGTGGAACTCCTTCTCATGATCGTCTCTCACCTCTCGATCTCGGAATTGGCCATGGTCTCGCGGGTTGATCGTTACTTTTACGGTCTTCTCTACCCATTGTTTCTTCCACGGGCAATCAAACACGATAGGCAATACGTCACCGCACCTGAGTACTGGACCACACTCAGGGACCACCCTTTATTGGGAGTGACATCCGCGGACTGTCAACTTCCGTTTACCCTCAGGATCATTGCGTCAGGCAGTGTCTCGACCACTCGCCGCCTCATCAGCGCTGGGGCACATCTCGGGTGCTTTATCGTGCCTGACGCGTGCGATCACAGTTGCCATTGCCGTCACCACCAATACCTCGCTGACAGTTCCCACGCAGGTCACGACCAGCAGGACTGCTGTCTACCTGTCAACACAGTCTCCGCTCACATCGCCATGACTACCCCGCTCCACGTCGCTGCCGCGTTGGATCACGCCGACGTCGTGGCCCTCATCCTCAAGAAAATACCTTCGTCTTCTGTCGACCTGATGACCTGCACGCCATGGCAACCCGCTCTTCCCTCGCCTGCTCCCTTACTCCACATCAACATGCTTGTCCGCCATCATGGCATAGGCGGCTGGGATAAACCGTCGACCACAGCTCTTCATACCGCCATTGCCAGTCGGGCAAGCGACAGAGTCATTCTCGACATTATACGCGCCGGGGCAGCTTGGGATCTACCCCTTGCCAACGCCCACGGCATCACTGCGCTACATCTTATGGCTGCCCACGGCCGCATCAGCCTGCTTCACTCAATGTCTAGCCTTGGCATCAAGGGCTTGGACTGGCCAGATCACCAGGGTTTCCGCGCTCTCCACTATGCCACTTGCTATCCACCGGCAGGCACTGACACCGTCGCGGCTTCAGAACTTATTGACGCCCTGGTGGGTGTTGGGGCTACTCTCGAGCCCTTGAATGATGAGGAGCAGAATCAGACCTATTTGACCAACCTGATTACTGCGGCCTCGCGTCACAACGAAGGTCAAAGTGCGAGTTCGCTTGTTGATGTGGACGGGACATTGCCAGGCCGCCCGTGGCTTCCAACTGATCTAATGACGCCCAGCGGCGCAGTGATCGACGTTGACGAAGAGCTTCTCCTCGATGTCCAAAACATGATTTGCGCTGAGCCAGCCCGTCTCGCTCAGCTGGAGGGCAAGACGGCGCTGGCCGAAGCCTTGCAGAGCGCCTGCAACGCAGTCTGGACCGAAAGACCGGCGTGATCTTGAACCATTCTCGCGTTCTTGGGCACACTGCGTCAGACAACTTTCATGCTCGTTTTGTTTCGGGATTGTCTCAACTGATTTCAACACGGAACTGCCGCCACCTAATATTTTTCATCACCCGAGTTTTCTTTTCAATTGTCTTTTTGTTTCGTGACACGCGATCGTCACGTTCCCCATGCAAGAACATTGCGATGCGGTTGGGCCGAAATGGCCGCACCGATGTCGCGCTATTTTCAAACTCCTACGCCCCGTGGGCATGTTACGTGGGGGAGCTCACACACTCGCTGTTTTGTCGGTTATTGCGTACCTACGAAACCACGGAGAAAAGGTGTGGTCATCGCGTGTTGCGGAAGAAAAACTCGTATCATGCAACACCGCGAAGCCACACCGCGAACTACGAAGTATGCCTCAAAATTGGGGTTTCCGGATTGTGCGCCATCATTCAAACTCCTGGGAGACTTAGGGTGACGTGCCGGATGGGACATTCACACTGGGAATCAATGAATTGGTAGGACAGATGATCTGGATGCTGGACAGTTCGGTGCCAATACCTCTGCATGTGCAAGATGTTGGTGGGTGGTGTGATGAGGTGGGGGGCAGGCGAGGTGGCATACTGCAGCTCATCTCTGCTAACGTTGTGATGGGCCACACCTGTGACCTGAGATCATTGGCCAGGTCGTTGTTGTGGGCCTGTCCGGAGAACTGGGGGTGGGACTCGCTTAAAGCCCGGCCCGACCCGGGTCCAGATTAGCGAGAATGAACGTACCGACGCACGCACAGGTCCGACAATACTATGTCTCTCGTGAAATCGTTTTTGTGCTTCTGTCATCCATGCGGATCTGACTGTCCGAGTTTTCCTGTTCGATTCTTGTGCTTTTCTCGACTTCTGTAACTCCCAAGCTTGATACCAGCGGTTTCTCGCATCGACATCATGGACGAGCGCGTATGTCATCAATAACCTTGACTCTTACTATCGATTGACTTGCTTCCCATACTAATTTGAGTCGTGTCAAGTATTTCGAGAGAGCGTATATCCGAGAGCACGGCTTTATGCAGCAGCCAACCCCGGAGGGCACCTCGGCGTTCGTGGAAAACCGCGTTGAGCCCGCTCTCACCAGTGCTGGCCAGCTGCGCAACGCGCGAAGATTCACCCAGAATGTCCACGACCAGGGAGGACTGCTGGTACAGGAAATGCAAGACCGCGGACACATGGATACGGCCAAAATGCAGAAACGTGCCGCCAACCTCGCCTACCTCCGCCAGCAATGGCCAGAGAGAAATTGGGTGCCCCAACGATACCAGGTCGAAGGATTCGACTCCAACACCACCATAGATTGCATGGTCAAGATGACCAAGTTTTGGTTGGGTTTGGAGGACGACATGAAGAACCAGCTCTCCCTGTGGCCTGTAGATGATCCGATCGCCCTCCCCTGCCTTTGGGCCCCTCCATCTGGCAGGCTCTACGTGGAGGTAGAGAAGGTTGGCGCCATCACGGCACGAGCTGTTCGCCTGGCGTTGGCCGACCTTAAAGCAGATGTTGCGCGGTTGAGAGCTCTAGAGCATCACGAGGAGCAGCCGCAAGACCAGCAGCATCATGATGGTCAAGAACCCCTCTTCAACGAGCGACCCGAAGACGTAGAAGAGCTGCATGGAAACGGGGAGGATGTCCAAGGGGGCCGAGGTGCATAGGAGCCGCCCGCCCAAGAGGATGAAGACCCTTTCCCGCTGGACTTGGGAGGAGACGACAATCAGATGCCTGGTAGGCCTGATCCTGACGACCTGATGCCCGACCAGGGACGCGGCGCTGTTCGCGGCATGAACATGCACCACTGGCGCTTTAGCGGCAGCGTGGGACGCAACCCCCAAGACGAGCGTGCTGGTGGGTCTGTTGGCGGTGGAGAAGCCGATCCCTTCATGGGATTTGATGATCCCGCACACCACGGGGAGCAGGACGTCTTCGGCGGCTTCAACTTCAACCAGCAGCAACCTGGTCGAGACCAGCGCGAGCATAATCAGCAGCAGCAGCACCATCGCCATCACCATGATCAGCACGAAGGTCAAGGCGAGCAGCACGGCCAAGACGACCAAGAGCGGGGCATGCAGTATGACCATGATGAGGAGAATGTTCACCATCAACATGATGAGGACAACGTCGACGGCCAAGACCGGGAGAACGATGAGGACCAGCACCAGCCGCAGGATCATGAAGGTCCGGGTCAAGCCCAGCAGCACCAAGCCCAGCATCACGCCCAGCAGCATGCCCAGCAGCAACAGCAGCAACAGCAGCAACAGCAGCAACAGCAGCAACAGCAGCAACAGCAGCAACAGCAGCAACAACAAGCCCCAGTTCGCCGACCCCGTCAAGACCATCCGACCCCCGAGCAAGCTATCAAGGCTGCCGGTCGTGCTGCCTCCGGTGGTGTATCGCGACAGCTCAATAGAGCCAGGGCGTTCTTCTCTCCCGCTCAAAGAGCGACTGCTGCCCGGCTTGCCAACCAAGCTGCGTCCAACTATCTCCGTGGGGTCCTTCGAGACCAGCGAGCTGCTGCTGCTGCTGCGGGAGACGATGATGATGATGATGAAGAGGATGATGACGAGAACGACGATGACTATGTAGATTGAGAGGTGCTTCTGTTTTCTGTCTTTTGCTATCTGCTGTTTTCGATTTTTTACTTGCTTGGGGGATGTAGCTTTACGCATGTTAGGGGAAGGCCGATTGCTTCGTCAGTTCTTATTTCAGCGGCGCATCTCGGTATGATTTCTTTTACCACCCCTGTTTCGATCAATGCATCAAATCTCTTGCATCATTATTTCCTTCATGATCTTTCCAAGGGCTTGTACCGTTTTTGCAGCCGTGAATCAGTGGCAGCAGGAGAACTTCACGAACTTTCAATGACGTTGACCAGCTGAAACCGCAGAAAAAGCCTGAATGCTTCAATGCATGCCCCATTCGTATTCAAGCCGAGCCATCCACGTCCAGGTCATGCTCATTTTCAAATTGGTTCTGAGATGTTTCTGAGACAGAAGGACAGCAACCATTGAGCCTCTCAGACTTTACTTGGTGAAGCCCCTCTCCCCGCCCCGTGACGCTGGACAGTCCGTCTCATATACGCCGTGATTCGAGGCCAGGACCATATCCAGACAGCTCTATAACTACGGATTTTCTCTTTGAAAATGAAATGGGGAGCTCTCAGGTCACGTCTAGATCCTTCAGCTCTTTACATGCCGCTCATACTTTGGTATTCCACATTGAAGTACGCTTCTGTCTTGAGACACGGTTATCCTGGCAACTCAACTCCCCTGAACAAGAACGGACGCGTATGCAATATCGCCACTGATTTTGGTTTTGATGCTGTCTTTTGAAACGTTGGGAACCATTACTCGGTCTCTGTTCTGCTGCGCCTCAGTTGCAGCATGACTATCTTCGCCGTCGACGTCACGCATTCCAAGCTTTCGACTCCACTGGTCCGGCGTCTTCGGCTCTGAGATTCGCATCTCCACAGACAACATCTCATCAAACGAAGCATCTTCACCTTCTCTCTCGGCAGCTATGGTCTCATACATCGTCCACAACGCGCGAAGGCGCTTTCAGGAACCCTTCGGCAGCGCTGCACTATCGTCATTGTTGCGAAAGATTTCAACGGGACCATGATCATCTCTAATACGTGCAATGAGCCTGTGTCATGAAGGAATCTGCCATGAACTCGCGGCTCTACATGGCAAGTCAGTCTGTAGCCCAAAGGACACTACTCGCATGCCCCAAACCCTCAGTCTACTCAGCAAGGAAGATAAGCAGGATGAACCCTCATATTCATCAGATTTCATAACGCAGAGCTCCATCTCGCGACAGTCTTTGAAGAAAAAAGAACAGCGACTTTGACATTGAGTTTCATGCTTTCAGACCCGAAGAAATACAGGCAAAGCTCAAATGCAAAACAAAGCGAAACATCTTGATCGCCTTCAAGACCTTGATTTCTCCAAGTCAGATTGATGAAACTTACGACGGCGCCGGCAAGGGAGACTCCGCTTCCCACCCAAGGAGGTATGCTTCTCACACTTCACTCAACGAATAAGACAACGAGAAAACTATCAAGCAGGGAACCCAAAACATACAAAGCCACCAGCAAACGTCTAACGCTTATAAAAAACATCTTGAACATTGTCGAATCTTTGGCTACATACGCTGCCATCTCGAGTCTGGGTAATAATGACAGCTTCAGCAGCGACGTCGTCCAATATGCTACGTAGTTCCACGGCGGTCTTCAAGGCATCACCGTGATCCATCTACAACTCGGCGTCTTAAAATTCCAACGTCTTGGTCCTTCAAAAGCGCGAGTCCAGACTTCTTACACGCCGAAATGTCATCTCAAGTCCCCCCAGCAGATGCCGGGTGAAACCGTCGACGAACCGCCAAGTCCAGAGTAGGACGACACAAGCCAGGGCGAATGACCCTGCTTGTCATGATTTGAAGCACCTATCCCAAAAGGCCGTATGCACAGAATTCTCTCCCCTTCATCCATTCCAAAGCTTCCAGGTTCGCCATTTGATCCGCATACGCCCAAATCAACAGTGGCTCGGGATGATCACCCTGCCGTGGCCAACAATGCAGCAACCCTCCTGTTTGACTTTATTCAAAATCTTGCGACAGCCAGCAATAACACATGCATGTGCGACAGCCAGCATCTAGCCTCACCTTGGGGTCTCACTGACTCGGTAACGTCACACACCAGACGAACAGATGGGTGAGGAAGGCTTCGGTATCTTCTTCTGCTTGGGGCTCTTGAATTGGGGCGATCTGTCCTCGTCTCGAAGTCTCACTGACCTAGCAATCTCGAAAGCCAGGCGAAAGGAGCAAATTCCATCCTCAGGCGATATCTGAGTTGAGTTTCCGGGGTTAGTTTTGTTTTCACGTATCAGGTCTCCACGTATTGGGTCTCCACGTATCGGGTGTCTACGTATCGGGTCTCCACGTATCGGGTCTCCTCGTGTGCGGTTTCATCGTATGAGATGTGAACGCGCAGTATCTTGATTCATCCCCGCAAGTCCCAAACGTTTTTGAACGAGTATAATTACAATACGCCGCAATATGATGCAGCCTCTCTTATTTCTCTACCGCTCTATCTGACATGTCGCCTTGGCCAGAGAATACACACTCAATTTTGGCTGAGTACTTGAGTGGTTGAAGTCGTCTCTCTTCCTCTCGGCGGGGTTTTCAGTCATGATCGTCATGAACTTGAGCATGAGAGAATGCGGCTGATAAATCTCAGGAAATGGAAGTTGCTAGTTATCGAGGACCTTCTGATATTTTGTTCTCCCTCCCTACTTAATCTCCTCTCCCTTCGAGAGCCACTCACCCAATCCCATGTTCCAGATCCACACCAGGAAAGCAGCACTTACCCCGGAGTTATTTCCTACCTCGTTTACCTCAAACGCAGACTCGAAAGCTCTCATTCTCTGCCACTTTAGACCTGATCTCACTTGAACTGCTCCATCTCCAATTCGTCGGCTCGCCCGCAGTGAAGCTTGCCAGTCATAACAACTCGATGGCCACGAAAAAATGCACTTCGAGTGTGCACTGCCGAAAGCGAGTTTGCCGAGTATTCCTGAGGCTCTTTCTCGCGAGTACGTCCTGGAGGTATCGAAGCCAGCGGTGAGACCTGGCCCGGCGACCACCGGAGGATCTTTCCCTGGCGGTTTGCTTCGTTGCATCCGTGAAATTTCCCTCATGTGCTCTCATTGAGCAAGATTCATATAACCCATCTGAATACCTTGACGCAGATGGACTAACAATATGCCAAAACTGTCTTTATCTTCAATTGCGACCATTTGCGCTGCGGCGACACCCTTGATGAAAATTTCAGCTCAAATTCCTTTGAAGGCCTAGATCCAAATGAACCCCGACCCGAACCTTAACCTTTCTTCTGCCCCTCACTATTCTTCATTCCCGACAAGTCACCCTGGATACAGAGAAGGAGTATCGTGCAACTGACATGGATCTTTTGCACTTGCGATGGCGAGGCCCTGGCCATGGCGAAAGATCCCAGCCTCCACACACCATCTCACAAGTCGACCAATGAGCAGCTACTGTAAGGCTTGAACAGGCAATCTGCCTGCATGACTTGTTAAAATGTGGCCCAGTGGGGAGCATCGGACGAGATCGCCGCCCAGGTTTCCATGTCATTCCTTCACTTCCCATCCTGAGCCCAATCTGCGGTGGAACATGTGGTGAGTCATCGACGAGGTAGATTCCTCAGCTCTTTCACTCTCAGCGGCAGCTTCCAAGATATAATGCAAGAAGTCGTGGTTGATGAAAGATGAGATGCTTCATGCTGGTGGTATGTGTTCGAAGTATCTCAGTGCAACTAGTAGTGCTCAGCACGGCGGTGTCGTGTGCCCAGGCGTGCACCGCAAGATGGGCACGTTTCATCAGATCGAAAGAGTCTTGAATTTCTGGTTTGCTCACGATTTGCCATCCACAGATGTTCATTTTGCTGCATTTTCATAGTCATAACTGCTGGGCGCTGGGCGGGCCGTTGATACTTCGTGAAAAGTACGTACCTCACCCGGAATCGCCCCTGACTGTGGGCGACCGCGGGCAAATCGCCCCCGCCCACACTCTAACTTCCCGGCAATTGGCCGAAATGGAGATTCAGAACATGGACACTGAGTCAAAAACATACTTCATGAGAGCGAGGACCAGACATCTTAGTTGGAATTCAGCAAGACTCCCGTCAGAAAGCCATGGGTTTGCGGCTCGTCGGCCCCGCAGCTCTTGTTTTTATTGCAACATTGTGGAGGGCTGAAAAACAGAGACATGATTCAATTCAATTGTTGATCGGATGCTGGAGGCTGACATGATTGTTTCTGCTCAATCGAGGCAAGACAAGGCCATGAATCCGTCGTGAACCAAAAAGTCCCACTCAGCTTGTCGCCCTGAGGCCCTGCATCACCAGCAGGGCTGTCGCCAGGCAATGCATCACCACGGAGGCAACAAATTTACGCGTGAATAATATGCTGGAGGAAGTGCCCATCATCTATGTATCCAGCAGGTGCATTCCTGATGGTTTCAAGATATTTTGCGGTTTACGCGCTCCAGCAGGCTTCAGTTGTGCTTGACTGATGACTTCGAAGTCTAAAGAGGAAGCCAATTAGATTCCCAGGCCATCTTCATTTTGGGTGTCGAATTAAGGATGCAGCCACTGTCAGAGCTGTGACGCAAATGAGCTGCACCTGATGAGGAATTAAAAAAATGAGCAAACCCGCGGGATGCTGTTCAACAGTATGAACCTCGTTCTTCCTAGCCTCATCCCTAAATGAGAGCATTCATAAGCTACCTACCTTATATATTTCTAAGGTGGGCTAGTAGAAGTGGGGACGCCTGAAAGGTAATAAATATAATATACTATATAATATAATATAGCTACCCTTATAATCTAGTTATAGATATCTTATTATACTTAATAAGTATATATTTAATATTTAATATTTAGAAACGTTTCTTAATAAGCTTTTAAGCTATTATAAAACTACTATAGAATTTAGCTCTATTTAAAGTAATAATTAAGAACTTTAAAAAGGAGAGAACTTTATAGAGATAAATTAAACTATTTCTACTTAAGGAGGCTTCTATATTAATAAGGATAATTATTTTATATTTTTATCTCTATTATTTATTTTTATTTCTTAAATACTCTCTCTTTATTATTTTTTATTATAATTATTTTTTATTTTTCTCTTAATAATATAAACCTAGCTATAAGTTATAATTATTTATAATATTACTTTTTTAATATAGCTATAATATACCTTTAGTTATATTATAATATTATTAAATATCTTTTTAATATTAAAAAGCTTTAATATTTTATAATAATTTATAATAACTTCTCTTATTAATAAAAAGTTTAAAACTTATTTTTTAGATATAAACTTATTCTTATATTATTTATAAGTAATATTAATATATTATAGAGAATTAGAAATATATTTAATAAAATTTTAATATATATTAATAATAATATTATAAATAATATTATAGAGGTTATAAAACTAAAGGTAAATATTATATTAAAATAGAGAATAGAGTTAATAAAGGTAATTAAGTAATATTAATATTAATTAGATATATAGTAATAAGTTATCTATAATATATTAGGTATAATTTTTAACCCCTCTTATGAAATAATAGCGCTAATATAGGAAAGGTAATATATAATCCTAGAAGGTGACGCCTGGGACTAGGACTGGCCAGTGCCCTGCTCGCCCAAGGCCGCCACAACCGAAAACGATCGAAGCCACCAAGGCAGGCACGTACAGTCCCGTCTAGTCTAGCCAGGTACATGAAGTGATGCCGCAGAATTCTGCCGCGGCGGAAACATGGTCGAAAACACCGAGCACCTGATGTCTCTCGGGTGCATTTCGAGCGGTTGCGTCCGCTGAAACCGGCAGAGGTCTCCCACATAGGACCCCAGAGTTGAGAAAAGAAAATAACCAGCACCTTTTTTGAATGCCATGACCGTTGCCCAACTCACCAAACTTCGGGTGCACGAGTCGGGTCATGCCCGGGCCCGTTTGCCTAGCCCAGCCACCAGCCACCAGCCGACTCAGCCACCGGACCAGTATCAGGACCCCAGTGCGACGGGCAGCCCAAGGCAACCTCGGTATTTGGTGGCACAAAAGCTTTTCGTATGCACCCTTTTTCCAGCAAACACCTCACCTACACCGTCACCACGACCGCTGCGAACACTGCGACCGCAATCGCGACGACCTTGAACAGCTTCGAAATCCTAACCCTCACCTTGGGTGTCGTCCAGCCGCCCGGAAGTGTTGGTCTGCATGTTGTCCACCCTCTCGCCGATGTGGGAAATACCAGCGCGGCCATGCTTTGCCTTTCGCCGTCACCAGTAGCACCGCTACCTCGTCGCACTACGGAACACTCTGCCGCCAATCTTCGTTGAATCACACGCCATGCAATCGTCCATCCACTTTAACACTCGTTTTGTTTCATTGTCTGATCATTCAGCATGCTCGCTCATCTGGCTCCTTGGTCTCCAGGTTGCCGCCACCCAGATTTGCACGTCACTCGTGCTCGCGTCGTGGCCGTCACCAATGCTGCCACCGAGGTCCCTTCTGCCGAGATCGATACCGACGCCAACACCGCGATCGCTACCATCAACGAGTTGACGCGATTATCCATGCTATCGCCGATTCTACCCTCTCCGTCACCGTTCATCGGTCCGTCTCCATTGTAGCACCCTATCACCCGCTGGTATGCTCACACCCGGGGTTGAACGACGTCTCACACAAATTGCTGACCCAAGAAAAGCCCCGTCAGGATTACATCTCGCATTTACCCACGGTTTCTTGATGTCTCGTTGCTGCCACTGCCGATATTGCCGCCCTCAACCAGCTCCTCCACCTCCACTCGACATCTGAACGTCTCCCCACAGTCGCAAGTGTCGAATTGCTACCGCGTCAAGGGTGTGCTCCGAGAGTATGGTTCAACCCCTACCTTGAGGCCGACCTCTGTTCGCCGCAACGCCGCCACGACGAAGCCTTTCAATCAATGCTCCAGCTAGTCTGTCCCGTATCGATCCGTGGATAGCGAGAAGAGACGAATTTCTACGAAGAAACAATGGAGGTGCGTTATCTGCTGCGCGTATTGAAGCTGCTGTGACCGGACAAAGCACCAATCACTGACTCGGACCTCGAACAGATCCCATTTCTGGCCCACGGTGCCTCCAGGAAGAACGTGTTACTACCGAGTATGACGAGCGTCGAAGCAGAGTAAAGAGAGGAACAAGGGCTACTTTGTACAGCGCGTGGCCTACTGCTATTACAAGGTGCCTTTGAGAGTGGGCGTTTCAACGTTGCTGTCTTAGGCAGGCTCTTCGAGACGGAACGAGGTACCAGACCTGCGCGTGGTCATTCAGCTACAAGAGAAGGGCAATGGATGCAATGCCGCAATCCGAATCGAGGCGTGCGCACGCAAAGCCTCCATTGCCACATTTTCTTGTCGCTGATTGCTCGCGCTCGATCCCAGTCAGCGGGTTCCCCCCAACTCCAAACGCACTCGACACCGCCTGTCTCGACCGTTAAGAACAAGAACTCAACCTCCTTTCTCCGCCAACGCATACAAGACAAGCAACTTTGCCGCATTGATATTGGCTACAACACCACCATCAAGACGACGCGGACATCAAACATTATCGCCGTCAACAAAGGAAGCTGCTCCTGTCTTCAACTATGGCGGCGTATCGCCGTCGCACAGGGTTCAGCCAAAGAATGTCGCATGAACTCTTGATCGTATTGCCGACATACCCGCTTCCTCTTCTTTTGTTGAAGTTCAACTTGTATCAATTCGTCAGGGAGGCATTACCTGGGCGACGAAGGGTTGCACTCGAGAGATGGACATGCGGTCTATCGGGTGTCGGAGCCACCTGCGGATCGCCCAAAGACACATCAACACTTTCAGGCATCGGACAGGAATGAGCGGTTTTCTCAACTGGTTGTCAGTGTCACCGTTGCAGTTGGCAATCGCTACAATCTTTGAATGTCTTCCTTCCATCAACCGAAGAATCTACCGCCGCCCAGACGAACACCAACTCAGTGATTGCAGAAGACGTGATGTCTCGGCTCAATTTCTGCTGCGAAAGAAGTTTCAAGAAAACTCCCACGATTTCAGCCATGAAGCTTTGCCCCGACAGATCTTCCTGCCCAAAGAGGTCGCATTTGACCTCTTCTTCGTCCGCTCCTTCCCTTGAGAAACTGCCAACAGTCCACATTGAACTAGGGACTCCCAACATCTGGATCTGGGTTCGAAAACTGCTACATTCATGGCAACATCGTACGAACGAAGTACTGGTGCCCGTGGTAGTACAAGCTCGAATCTCTCGGCGGCGGGTCGCGGTATAGCTTTCGACAGTAGCCCGAGTGCCTCCCATCACCGACGTCGTCACCTATTCCGCAGGCGAGCCTTTGGAGTTCCTCGGACCGGCTGATGTCAACTTTGTACGGCTGCCCATGAGCCTCATTGCATCGGCTGTTTTCAATTGGGTCGCGAGCTTCGCAGAATTCAGGCCACTGGCGTCGCCATGAACATGCCACACTCAAATGGCCTTGACTCCTTCGGATACTGAGGCCAGTCGCTGGTCCAGGAGAGAATCAGAGGTATTCTGACGGAATGTCATGTCAGATCCGCCGAGATGCTCCAATCACAGTCACTGTCGATCGCGACGCTTCGTCCTCCATCTCCCCCACGCGGAGCATCTCGTCCTCTCATTGTCTTCCGCCGGCCGTCGTCTGGAGATTGTCGAATCAAGCTTTTGTCTCGCCGACGACAAAACCTTCCATCCTGGAAGAGTCCAACCATCAGCTAGGAGAGTTGATCCTGATCTCGTACCTCTTCCAGGTGGCTTTACTTCAAGATTACTACAAGCTGCCGCGCGCCACTCAGGCTGATCATTTTGCTTTACATCGTGCGCAGCTCGTTCTTCTTCAGTTGTTGCAACGGGTCCGGGTGATCTCACGAAGCCAGTTCAAAAGGAAAAGATTCTTCTGCGGTTAATCTCTCTCCGAGCCTCAGTAGCTACACATTATCCTCGTTGCCATCGCGTGATCGGAGGTCAGATCTGCTCATTGCTTGTTCCCACTGGGCTTCGACTTATATCGAAACAACAGCCACGCGAACGCGGAATATCAAGGGGAATGTAGCCGGAATCCACGGCACAGTTCGTTCTTGACAGCTTCCCGTTAGTATCATCTCGGGAGTCAGTTCATCGTCCAAAGTAGGGCTGCAAAATACAACGGCATGAGCTCGCCACGGTAGGCTTCATCTCGATCAGCGATTCGTATTCTCTACGCTCTCGCGCTAATATTCCGCAGATATCCACGACTTTCCATTCTCCGCATCCACCCGAAAGACTCCCCAAGCCAGTGGTGCTGCCTGCTCTCTGGGCCCAACCCAGGAACAACACCCATCATCTCTGGACCCTCAAGAGCCAACGTCATCGATGCCCTCACCCCTCCTATCCAACAACCACAAATCTGACGGCAACCACGAGTACACCCCGTTCTCTACAGTCTTGGACGAGCGCGATAGCGACAAGAACGACCATCGCTCGGATCTCCAGGCACCAACATATCAACTCCGTTGAAGCCCCTCCGTCCGGACCCCGAAGACGAACATATCCATGCTCCCAGCATGTCCAGCCAGCTCCGCCGCCAGACCACTGCAGTCATGCCGAGGAGTGCGTACCACGACACGATCCAGTTCCCTCAGGCTGCCTCGGCGACTATGTCGATGTGATGGAGCGAGTTGCTACTTTTTCTTCATAGCCCGGTGGCAACATGTTGCGTCTCTACTTCTTGGTATGCTGCGGCCAACGTCGTGGGTCAGAGCTGGCAGGCTTGGGTTCATCTTCGGAGTAGGAGATACGACAGCCTTTGTTCAGTGGCATCGCGTGTGGAGGATGCTGGGTTGTTTGATCTGCTGTACACGCTTTGTGAGGATGTTGTTACCCTATGGACGCTTGCATTGCAATGAATTCCAAGTTTCCTCCAGTTCACAATGCAGAATCTTACAGTTTCATGGTCGAAAACAAGTTTCCCTGTAACATTGCGTTGTCTTGAACGTGTCATTCTGGCGAAAGGGTCTTCGCAAGATCTGGACTAACCGGAAGTCATCAATCTACCCGACGGTATGGAGCCCACAAGAACGAGTCCCATCTTATCAGTGTAGCCGCATGAGAAGAAATGATTGGGGAGCCTCTGAGAGTTGTGATCTGTCCCTAAGCCTGCGCATTCAAACGTCTATCAACTGAAGCAAGAACCTTTCGAGGGACATTGGTACTTCATGTTAGCATGGTGATCGACTTCGTCATATCGGCAGCGTTCCTTCATAAGAGACTGGGTTCATTGTTAACAGTTCCTACCTTTGATGGGGGGATCTGTGGTGCGGCTGGGGCGATTGATGGCATGACAGGGGCGAGCATGGGTTGGGGGCGGGATGTGCCACCGTTGGTGACAATAGGGTCGGCTGTAAGTACGAGACTGGTGGAAGCAGGCACGGTGTTCCAGCTGATACTCGATGATTAGTCATATGTGGATAGTTACACCTGGGAATTGCTTGCGCGGGATGACTAGTGCGGATGATTAAAAATCGTTTGCCGAGGAACCCGAGCTCTCTGATGTAATGCCTTGTGAGCCATGCCGGACGAGAAACCCGCAGAACATCTCGCAGGAGTGGTATCCCCGTTTGGGCTACGCATTTGGTGGACACAACAAAAGTTGGATAAAGAGTTCAGCAATAGGTCCGGCGGAGAATGGGACAGATGCGATCATGGATGAGCCAATTGCATGGTCAGCCAGCACCAGCACTCCTAGAACGACCACACCGTCTTGGCCGGGTGTTGGGTTGCCATAGCATCAAGCCGACATACCGGTAACCAGAACGATTGTAAAGAGTATCGATCACCGATCAACGAGTGCAGAGGGCAGAAGGTGTCAGCCCTCGGGAATGCCTCCGCCTCAGGGCTTCGTTGACCCCCGGTTGAAAGCCCCTCTCGCCGGAGCTCAAGGCCGTCTCTGGTGCGGTTTGCTCCCACCTTCCCCATTCGAGCAAACAACCCGCCTGTGATCTTCCAATCACACACCAGTACCACACACAGGTGCAATCTAGAGTTGCAATGCAAAAGCTGGAGCGGCGCTTGGAACGCAAATGTAGGGACTGTGGTCTCAGTCGGCCATGGTGCCACGGGCATGCGAGGGCTAGCCAACGCCGCCTCCATGACTGCTGCATTCTGATGGTGGCTGGAACCCGAAGATAGTCATGTGATTCAACTGCAAGGGAGACAGCGGGAAGTCGAAAGCCCAAGCATGATAACAGCACAGCATGGTTTGGAAACGGCCTCAAGGCGATTTCGACGCTATCCTCCTGCACCCAGCGACGACAAGTCACCCCCCTCCTCAGTTCTGAAGCGATCGGATCGGCTGCCAACAACTTCCGGGGTCGCAGGCTAGGTTCGGAGCTCACCAGCAAACAGCACAGGACTTGAAGTCGGAAAAGACTATCTGCCGGGTAGACCATGGTCACAACCACCAAGGCGTGCTTGATGCTCGTGACCGCCAACGATATGGCTGGATCACCTGAACCGTATCGACCCCGGACCGCTGGGAGAGAGCAAGCCCAACGCGAAGCCAGGAGACCACTTCTTGTGGGCATAGTAATAATCTGAACTCTCTATTTCTGGGGGTAGATAAGTAAACATGCTTGAACTGTGGGAGCCTGTTGATAGCTGAGTGGTTTGGGGTATACCATGAGGCCTACGGGGTATTGCGGTTGTGTTCTCTGGCAATAAAGATTTTGATAAGGCATATGAGGTAGGTTGAAAGCACTGCGGCGTTGTAGCATACTGTATCTGGTGATATCGGTATGGGAGTGAGGACTTGGCTTCTTGGGGGAGCTGTTTGTAGGGAGGTATTTGGAGGGCTTGGTTGGTGGTAAGGATTGCGGGTGAGAAGGTAAGACTTGATCTACTTAGAAGAGGTTGTGATTAGCTCTGATTGTACCTAGGATTGGCGTGGTAGTTCTTAGCTGGTGTGGTGGTGATGGCGCTGGATGACTTGAAAATGGAGCTGCAGTAAGGAGGGCCTAGAACTGGCACCATAGCGTGAGTGTTGGAAGAGGGGATCTAGGCGATGGCGACGGCGACGGGGAGACCTAGTTTGTTTTAACTGACGTGAGTAGAGGCGCCTATGAAAAAGATTTTTTAATTGACTTTGAGCGTGGTTGCTGGGGTGCTGCGGTTGGGAGGGAGCTGTGAAAGCTGTGAGGCGTGGGGAAAATTGATGGTATCCAGTACAGGTAAACGATATTTACCTTTGCCACGGCAGAATAATGCATTACGCGGCAGAAATGTATGTAGAAGAGTCCCTATGTCGCGATTGAAGCAACCTACCGCAGTACTGGCTGTAGCTTTCCCGCTTCTTACATAATTGCAATAAAGCATGAACCCCTAAATGAGACAAAGCTCCCCGTTACGTCACTCTGCCGTGAACCACCTCAACAAGCTCACAATACACCATGAGCACCGCCTGCCGTCTTCGCGATCAGATTCGACGAAAAACACGACCTCTACACGCGACATGGGCTCAGAGACTCGCACAAAACTCGAGATCACCAGATCAATGCCGAACCGTGGTCCGTACGGGACCAGCAAAGTGGATCGAGAACTTCAAATCCAGGCATACTGCATGTGCACAGCTCAAGAATAATCCCCAGAATGTCCAGACCAACATTGAGGGCATTGAGAATGCTTGAGCACAACTAAGTGATGAGATCAATGCTCCCGATTTCGATGTTGACAGAGAAAAAGCGTATGACCGCGTTTCAAGATGCGAAATTTGACCTTCGGCTCCAAGCCCGCCATCGAATCCGATCCCATTCACGCTCTATGCGAGGCCCAATCAAGTGCTGATTCACGCGGCCTGCCGATCAGGTCTATGCTCATCAAGATTCCTACAACCAGAAGCGACTACAATGCCTTCGGGCATTTGGTCAATTTGAAACGATACAGAGTTTGTCCACCACCTCGACTTCTACGGCAGCTCTGTCCGGAGACGGGGAAACCGGGACACTCGTCATGCTGTCCAAAAGTACGAGCGCCATGATCATAACGCCGGCGGCGATCGTGCCAAGCATACCTGGCCAACACCCGAAGACCATGCCCGCACGCTTGCTCGGCGCTATTGAGGCCTTCAATGTTCAAGCCGACTTTTGACTTGAATGAAGGGAACTTGATCGGGTTCTGAGAGCGCCAGCTTTTTGACATCCTCAGCTCTATGACGAAAGCAATCAATCGCTAGAACACTGTCCCCAAACCAAACGAGAAGGGCAACCAACCCCCGCGAAGGGCAACCCGGAAAGAGTTGTCGAACAACCCCTACATGGCCAGAAAATCGGAATCCGCGATCCAAAAGCCAGGCAAGTGAAGGCTCCCTGGGGTCAGGGGGAGCGATGCGTCTTTGCGGAACAAAGCCAAGAGAATGATGCGACACCTAGCAACTAGAGGAGCGAGGTTTAGCAACGGAGGAAGCCCAACGTTTGCCGATGGAACAACACCAAGCGGGAGTACTTGGCCAACTTTTCGTGCTCTGGGTACCACATACGACCATACCCACTGGAGAACTCGGGATCCCGTCCGCTCTCCCATAGATAAGCCAGTGAGGGCCGGATTAGTAGTTGGGTCGGTGACGACCAGCGAATACTTGGTGTTGTATGTTTTTAGCCCTTGACCTTGCCTTTTTTGTGCGCTGCTGAATGGCGCGAACTTTTCAGAGCCGCTGAAAAATAAATCGTCGGCGTTTTGTCTCCAGCATCACTTGTGAGCATCCACGAAACTTCATTCTGCCTGGCCACAACCTCAACAAACGGCACTCCGTCGACTGCCACGAGCAGTAGCCCAGCAGCACAGTATGTCCGCCCTCGAGAACGTCTAGTTTGCACGCAGCACTCGCCGTTTGGATGCAGGCACATTACCTCATATGGATGTAATGCCTTGTCGACCTCCACCCCCGGGATGACCGCCCATCTGTGATGTCAAGCAGTCGATCCGACTAATGCATAAACATGAATCCAGACTTGGGCCCCAGACGTCAAGAACTTCCTCAGCTGGTCCCACGTCCTACTTAGGACAGCGTCTCTTTGCATCCAGTCAAAACGCTTCCCGATGCTCATCGTCCCTCTAGCAGGCCAGCGAATGTGGGAAATTTGAGCGCCACGTACCTTCCGGGCTCTCTATTCTGCGAACCATGTCACCAAAGCATCCCTGAGTCTAAGCCATCCAGTTTGCTATTATGGGTGCGAGAAGAACAATGAGTGTTTCATTCGGGAAGCGACTCAGAACGTGTGACAACTACATCTTATGATAGATCTCCGCGACATGTTTTGTTTTGCACCCACAATACCAGTCTGGCGTGAGGACCCAAGATCAAGGATGTAAGTTCCCGCCCGTGCTAATGTCGGCGGTCTCAGTCGAGTATGAGTCCGTGACGGGATCTCAAAGTCCCGTTACGTCTTTCCAAGTCCCTTTCTTCCAATATTTCCTTCACGGAGGCGGTGAATTACTGGTCAGACTACGGTGATAACTGCCAGAAA